ATATATATATATATATATATATATATATATATATATATATATATATATATTTGTAGAATGAGCATACATAAACATTAAGGTATTTTGATTTAGACAAAAGTCATTTATTTATTATAATATTGATTAATTAATTAATGCATTACATATATATGCATTACACACTTCACTAGTCCTAAAAGAGGAGTCAAAGTAGATCCTCTAGCTAGCTAGCCAAGTTTGAGGAAGAAGCTTTTATTTGGCTTAATACTCACAATAGCCCCATCGACTACTGACTACAACATTCTCCATTAGAACATTGTTTACCTTTACCACATTGTCCTGATTATACTACTGATCATATATAGGGCTAATGTGTCTGTCGTCCGTCTAGATCTTTGCATTGACTTTGACAAAATGGAGAGTTACACGACCCTAAGAATAATTAGAAGGAACAAAACCAACACAACTTAAGAGTTTCATTTTGTTATGTGGAGTAGTACATTTTCCTTTCAATAGAAAAGGGTTATAAAAAATATTTGGCCTAATGTACTATTTAATTTTTTTTATATATTAAATTAGAAATACATTTAATCTTATATATTTTAAAATTTTAGAATAAATTAGAAGAAAATAATAAATTTATTTTGATTTATTTAAATAGACAAATAAAAAAAATATATTTTTAGTATAAAGACCAAGCGAAGAGATGGTTGAACTATAGCAATTAAAAAGACTCGGGATTGAATCCCTTTCTTAAGCTGTTGAATTTGGTGCAACGTGCAGCTATCTTAAAAAAGGGTGTTCGGCGATATTTCCAGCCCCACTACTTATATATTATTTTTTTTTGTCGAATCTATCGTATTTTACTTTTCTAATTTTGTTTACTTTTTTGGTTTTATTTATGTAGAAAGTTTTGTTACACATCATTAATTATAATTTGCATGAATAAAGATTCGTTCAATTATAATTAGATCAAGTAAAGTTTAATGATATTATAGATTTATGTCATGAAAATAATAGAATAATTTATGATTGAGATTCATTTAAAATCTATATTTATCTTAATAATAAAAACAATAAAGTCGTCAATTATTTTTATTTTTTAAAACTATCAAATAAAATAATTAAGTGTATTCTACCGGGATATCCGGATTTCCCGAATTTTTTACCTGTCAAACCTCGTACTTGTATTGAATTTTTTAAATTATACTAATTTTAAAGAATCCGACACTTTTGAAGAATCTGATTAATATGTTTTTATAATTATTTGAAAACCTTCAAATAAGTTTTTTTAAAAAAAAATATATTATCATCTTCTTTAGTTGAATTTTTATTTAGAACTCAGTTGTGTTTTAAAGTGTGATCTATTTTTGAAGATTGCTTCAGAATTTGAAGAAAGCATGTGTTGTAAAATTACTTTCAAAAAAGTTTGGCAGGTAAAAAGTCACGGAGTTCGTTTATTCATGTCAATCTTAAATTAAAGTTCTTGAAATAATTAGCTTGGATACACTTAATTGCTTTATTTGATAATTTTAAAAAATAAAAAAGCTTGCACCTTTATTGTTTTTATTATTATTATAATATAATGCGTATATAATTTAAATGAATCTCAATCATAAATTATTCTATAGTACATATGACATAAATCTATAATGTCATTAAACATTACTTGACCGGATATTTATTAGCCGTACATGCCCAAGCATATGGGGTTCTTACCTCTTCTTAAAAACCTCGTAAATATTTTTTTTTAGAGTCCAACTTCTTAACTTTTGAAAGGTTAATAAAATATGAAATTTATTTAGCAAAATTATCAAATTTTACATTATTAATAAAGTTATTCAATTTGAAAAATTTATCTATAAAAATTTACTTAAATTACATTTATCACGAAAATGGATTATTTTTACATCTAAACATATACCCCATAAATATGCCTTCAGCACAAAATAAATGATGAAAAATGTAAAGAATCTGATTAACCATTCAATATGTGTGATTCACTTTAGATTGTGTATGTAATTTTAACTTTAATTAAAAAAAATATCATGCGATATTTTACATCTATATTGGAGCTCGATGAAATTTGAATGCCGAAAAGTTTCAAATAAGATAAAGTACTTCCAAATAAAGACACAAAAGGGTTTGATCTGAAATCTTTTGATTAAAAATGAATTACTTAATTACTACTCCACCCGAACCCTCGTTGGTAACTTTTTTCAGCAATACAACTACTCCTCGTTTCATTGTTGTCTTTTTTATCGATAAATATATAGTATAAAAATTATATAGTACTACATTAAAGAGTAAGAACAATAAATAGAAAGTGAAGTTATTTCTTTATCTACCAACTGGATTGATATTAAAGTATACCCTTTGTAAATCTAGGACCACTTGAAAATAAATTTTAAACTCGTTTTCTAACTGATCTAAAAATATGAAAAGTCAAATATTTTTATTTTGGATTGATATTAATGTTTTCGTCGTAGCCATTGAAACGTGTTGAGTGACTACTTGATGAAAGACGTTGTGCAATAGGTTGGGTCGGCAAATTAGTATTTTTATTTTACTGCCCTTATTCAGGAGCTTTCACCATTTTTATAACTTAAAATTACAATTTTAATCTTTAATTCAAGTAAAAGACAAAATAAATAAAGTAATTGAAGACAACTATTTGAATTTTATCTTCAATATGTCCTTGTGATTTTATTCCTTCACAACAAAATGAGGGGGGAAAAGGGGCAAATTTTTTGAAAGATTTTAAAGAGAGAAAAATATATTTGAGTTAGTAGGTCAAAGAAACTTGTCCATATCTATTAGTAAAGCATAATTATAATTTACCCGCAAATATAAATTATATGTTTAATTGTATTGATTTTAAGCACTAATTTATAGAGAAAACTAGTTGCAAATTGTTCATCTGGCTATAAAATAAGCCTATCCTATGAGATACAAAAAAAAGATGAGACAGAAAATATATATTAATTTGTAAAAGCTGAGCTTCGGAATTCTCAAGCAAGAGGAGTTAATTATGTTGATATGTAAGATTTGTTTTTTTCAACTCAATCAGGACTATATATAACACAAGTCTTTGATGGTGGGTGCTCCATCGTTCAATATATTAGTTTTTAATTTTATTTATTTTTGCTTAACTTTGAAGATTCCTATATATAACAAAGGTCCGACTAGCATGTACATCCTCTTGCAGTATTTGGGAATACAGGAACGACGCCAAACATGAAATCTAAATAGTTGTTGTAATTAAAATATGGTTGTAGACAAAAGGTCTTTATTTACTATTATTATGTTCTTCATGCATTATTATTACACACACTTGTCGAGTTCCAAAAGAGGATCCTCTAGAGCATGAAACTTTGAATACGATTGTTGAGGGATGAGGGGAAACGAGGATCGTTGCATTGGCTCACACATTGTGGGTAAGTGCAATGAGCTGATGTGGTCCCACACCAACCAGAGAAACTACAACATTGTCCAGTAGGACATGGTCTACCATCAGCTTGCCATCCGCACCGTCCTGGTGGGAATGGAGCTGAACATTGTTTCTGACAATGTTGAGGATCACAATACTTGTATGTGGCTCCACACAAACCCCATATACTACAACACTCTCCGGGTTTAGTACATCTCTCACCATTCTTTTGCAGTCCACATTCTGGTCGTGGAAATCCGGGTGGAGGTGGTGGTGGAGGAGGAGGTGACGGTAATATACATTGTTTTTGACAGTTTTGACGAGCACAATAATCTGATGTGGTCCCACACCAACCACCATAACTACAACACTTTCCATTAGGACATGATTTACCATCAGCTTGCCAGCCGCAACGTCCCTCTGGGTACGGGGCTGGACATTGTTTCTGACAGTTTTGAGGAGCACAATACCCATATGTCTTTCCACACCAACCCCATACACTACAACACATTCCACTAGGACAGTTTCCGCCATCACCTTGCGCTCCGCATCGTGGGTATCCCCCTACAGATGCATTTATACTTTCAACCCCAATCGTTTCATTCATGGGGACATCAAATACTTCATTGGCTAACACCGCCTCAAGGAGGAACAAAGCCAGCAGAGCCAAAATGCTAATTCTCATCTCTTTCATTTTATTTGTTATACACGTAGGATTGCTTAAATGCTCAAGTATTATTTATACCAAAAACAATCACTATATTTGATATATAAAAAAAATACTCCCTCCGTTTCACAAAGAATGACCTAGTTTAACTTGACACGAAATTTAAGAAAATAAAAAAAGATTTTTGATCATGTGGTCATAAATTAAAGTTATGTTAAATATATGAAATTGTCCTTTAATCTTGTGACCTTAAACATGTCACGTGTAAAGTTGTTACCAAAAAATGAAAGAGATCATTCTTTTCTAATCAGACTAAAAAGGAAACGAGGTCATTCTTTTTTACCGAGGGAGCAGTAACTTTGAGGGAAATAAAACAGATATTTCTTCTAATTAACAAGTGAAGAAATTGACGGTAGTTATTAACACATACAATAATTTTATCCATAAGACAATATTGTGTCACAATTACATCGATTTTATCCTCGATTTCTTGCTTTTTGGATTGGTGTATTATCTTTAAAAGCAATTTAGATTAAACTATTAATTGAAAATATTTTTATTAAATTTACTACAGTTCAACGATATTTAAATCCTTTTGTGTTAAAATAATATGATAATAAGTGAAAAAAAAACTAATGAAAATGTTGCAAAATCAATAAAGACATATGAACTAACCCGGAAATGCGAGCCCTCTTGTGTTACCCTAAGAATTTTATTTAGAAAAACAAAGAGCAATAAGTAGAATATCAAATTACACTTTTTTTTGTTTTTACTTTTGTTGGATTATGACTTGTCATAGAAAAAACAAATTCATATATATAAAATAGTATATTTGAGAAAAAGATTTTTTTGTTAGTGAGTAACGAAATAGATCGTAGTTATTTTCTTGTTATGTCAATCATAAGACAAATATTATATCACCATTATACTGTTTGTAACCCTAATATCTTACTTTTGTAGGATATAATATCAAATGACTGATTATATTTCAATGTTTGATTTCAAAAAGGAAAGTGAGGTGCTAGATAATGATTATTTTTCATTCAAATCATAATATATTGAAATTACGCGGAACACATGAGAGAAGTAACAATAATTTAGAGTAGTCTTCTCTCATCTACCAGCAATATATTACTTCTAAAAGAATTCGTTCTAAATCTAGAATAATATATATAAAAAAAATTTAAAAATCATAATTTATTGTGATAGATGTTACTTTGGTTCTTATAGAGTAAAATATATGTAAATTGAGAGTAAAATCTTTAACTATCAAGAAAGTGTTCAAATAAAATCACCATGGTATGTAATACTCTTTTAGTCTTTCTCCCCTCTGGTTTTTTCCTTATTCTCTTTTTTTTGCTCAATATAACGTATTAATAATTATTATAAATTGAATTTTAAGACGAATCCACATTTTGACATTTTATATTTATTTTTTTTCACCTTCAAAAATGTTACTTTTAACATTGCATCATTGAACGTGTAAAAAACATGACAAGTATTCGAATGCGATTTTAATGATCATGATAATTGAGTGCAATTGTTATTTGTTTCTTTCTAGAGATCAAATACGAATTTGCTTCTTAAGTGGTTGATTGAAAATGAAAAATCAATTACTTTTTTGCAAAAAACTATTTTCAACCAAACATCAAGAGAAAATCATTTAATTTGTTTAGCAAATCACAAAAAAATTATCGTTCTAACTAGAGTTTGATTAAAAATCAATTTCAATTTTTCAAAATACAACTTTTAAACAAAGGATAATCATCGAAAGCATATCTTGAGCAATGAGCATCCCCACACAATATTAATTAGAGTATATTACCCCCATAACTGATTAAATAAGACAATATGTCACTAAATATATGATCAAAGTAAATTTTCTTTTTTATTACTTCTATGATCTATAATTTCATCAGATTGCTATAGTACTTACCATTTTGATAGGTAAATTTTATTTTATTTTATCGAACCATTTTCATTTTACGTTTATTCTCCTAATTATTTAATGTCTCTCCTCATTTTTTTTCCTCTTATCCTCGGGGTTCTTTTCTTTTGTTGTTCTTTCTCAATTGATGCCTCTTCTTCTTCTTCTTTTTGGGTGTGATTGATACGAACGAAAATATTCATAGATTGATACGAACCATTTTCAATTACAAAATCGGGGCTTATTGAATCATCGGCTTTGTAGGAAAAAAAATTGATATGTTAAAAATGACTAATAAAAATAAATTTATTTTTGAATAAGTAAACAATAAAAATAAACAAAAGAAGTAGAACTAACCTAACTGATTGAACATTTTCTCCACAAACAACTTTTATAATAATATACTAGGATAATGTAAAACATCTTAGGAGTTTGTTTGAAAAGTCATCTGGTAATTTAAATTAGGTAATTATTAGGATAGAAATTATCAGTCTAATTATCGATAGAAGAAAGGACAATAATATATTGCTCTTATGATTTATTTATTTTTTAATTGCTAAAAGCACAGGATAACGCGTAGAAGCAAACGTCAAAGGGTAATACGAATTTTTCTCATCTTACCTGGGAACTTGATATGTTAGGCTCAAAATACTATTCCTATGTCTAATTTTTACTTTTATCATTATACTAAAAAAGTAAACGCGTCAAAAAACTATTAAAAATAACTTATATTTACTCTTAAAAATATTTCAGCTCAAAATATGTTTTTCGTCAAATTATTTGGTTAAAAATGTTCTTCTTATTAAAGAAAGTTGTTAATTTCTTCAAATTATGAAACGGAAGTTGTTAATTTCCGTCAAATTATGACTCATCATAGAGAACATAAAAAAATATTATCTCCTTTTTACAAAGAATGATCTAGTTTGACTTGACACGAACTTTAAGAAAATAAAAAAGATTTCTGATCATGTGGTTCTAAATTAAAGTTATGTCAAATATACGATATTGTGGTTTAATATTGTGGCCTTAAACATGTCATGTGTAAAGTTATTACCAAAAAAAGAAAGAGGTCATTCTTTTTTAAACAGACTAAAAAGGAAATGAGATCATTCTTTTTTACCGAGGAAGTAGTAATTTTGAGGGAAATAAAATAGATATTTCTTCTAGGCATAATACATATATTAGACCCTAAACTTGGCTTCAAATTTTAATTTTGATCTCAAACTTTCATAGTGCACAAATAAGCACTTTAACTATCCTATCTTTCAATAAATAAACACGCGATTTTTGGAGCCAAAGTGCGTGAAATGCAAACGCTCCCACGTATATCAGTGAGTCAATCAGTGGCTGCCAATTAACTAAACATTTTACATGTCTTTTTTTCAAAAAAAATACCTTACATATCATTTTGAAACTAAAAAAAATTAAAATTAATTTTAATTAATATAAAAGAGATTCATTAAGGGTAGATTTGTCATTTCAACATTTTTTTTATCCTTTGTGGACTTTGAAAATTACCCCTCACTCGTGCATAAAGCGTGCATTTCACGCATTTTGCCAGGTAGAAATCGCGTGTTACTACATGTGGAGAAAAATTTCAGATATAGTTTCAACATATTCTGCTACTCTATCCTTAAAAACAAAATCAACTTTCAACCCCAACAAACTTTTAATGCTAGGGTTCCACTTTTAACCCATATATTCTACTTAAACATATGAGCTTTTTTAACTCATGCATTTGTAATGAGCCGCAATGTCATTTTAAAAACTTTTATAAAATTACCATTTTATCCCTATAGATAGTTATCACGAGTCATTCATGATAGTCAATGAAGTTGATTTGAGAATTTTAAACTATTCGTTTAAGTAGAGTAAATTAATTGATAATTAATTTTTAAATATTTAATTTAATTTATAACTAATAAACTAAGTTCATAATTTATTTAATGACCTATACTATTTGACCCATTTATATTAAAATAAATTTGGAGGATTTGTCACTTTTTAGGTCATAATTAATTTAGAAAAAGATGGGAAAGGGGACGCCGCAAGACTACACGGGAATTGCATGTAGTTACCATTTACAAAATGTAAGTGTACAAATTTAACATTCGTTATAAAAAAGACAATTATATTTATATATGATATGAAGAAAAATCAATAAATAACTACAATAAAATTATTTTAAACTTAAAAAAAAAAGGAAGATGACAAAGTTTTTTCTATAAATGTATGTTTAGAAAAATTCAGGAATACAGTTTGTGAAAGGAAAAAAACAAATCAAACATAGGAAGAAAAATAATTAAAAAAAAATCAGCAAAATAAATAAGTAAAAAGAGATGAATTGAATTTTAAACCAAAATTAATGTCCTTGGGGAATTAACTGTGGCATTCGACCGAGAAACGACATTCAGCTCCCACTTATAACCACCAGACCAACCAAAGCATTTGTTTAATGGATGCTTGCCGATAAGTTTTATATGATTTTTTTTAAATTTTTTTTATATAAATATATATAATTTGATATGAAATTAATGGATGCTCGAGAATTTATAAAATACCATGTGGATCCGCCCCTCGCATATGTTGATCAAGCTTTCCAGTAGGTTATAGTTGCCCAATTAGGATAGTCATTAGATAATAGCATGCAACCAAGCATGGGATTACAATTAGGATTAACCATTGGCCAAAACAAGTAAGAAAATTGATGGTAATTGAAAAATCGAAGCACTGTGGGGTGGAATTTCCGTCAAATTATGACTCATCGTAGAGAAACATAAAAAAATAACAAATAAATAGTAACTTTGAGGGAAAAAAGCAGATATTTCTTCTAATTAACAATACTGTGTCACCATTACATCAATTTTATCCTCGATTTCTTGCTTTTTCGAGTCAGTGTATTATATTTAGAAGCAGTTTTGGATCAAACTATTAATTGAAAATATTTTTTATTAAATTTACTATAATTCAACAATATTTAAGCCCATTTCTATTAAAATAATATAACAATAAGTGAAACAAGAAAAACGATTAAAAATGTTGCTAAATCAATAAAGACATATGAACTAACATGAAATGCGAGCCTTCTTGTGTTACCCTAAGGATTTTATTTAGAAAAACAAGAGCAATAAG